CCCCAAAACCCCAAAACCCCAAAACCCCAGCCTTGGAATCTCAGATTGATTTATTATAATAGAACATGGAGACCCCTCCAGCTGTCACTGGGATTAAGAGGAAGAGAGCAAAGAAATTAACTGACCAGGAAAGACTTGATATGAAGAGAGAGAGGAATAGGAAGAAGATGAAGAGGTATAGACATATGGTGGGGAGGGGGGTAGGGTCAAAGAGAAACATCAGATAAGAGAGGATGAGATAGATTCACTTAAGTCCCAAGTTGAAATACTTAGGAAAGAAAATGAAGAGCTTAAAGCGAAGATTTCTGTTCTCAATGAAGAAAGATCGTCTGTTAGTTGTGTAAGTTAACGTTTGTATTATTTTAGACAAAGCACAGCTTATTTAAAGGAGGAAAGAAATCAGCTTTTGAAAATATTGAAAGCTCCAAGAATGAGTCTGTTATGAGCAGTGGTCGTTGAAATTCTCAAAAAGATAGCAGTAAGTTAATCAATTGATCAATTATTTAGCAATGAAACCTTGAGAGAAATTATTTAAAAGAGAATACCGCTTTTGGAAAGATACTCTTCCAGAGCTTATTGATAAGAATCCTGATAAAATCAATTATTCTCTGATCCATCAGAATAGAGACATCGCCGATGCTAACGGAGCTGCAAGACTATCATATTTGAAGAGCCAGTTTAAGAATATAGGTATGCTCCAATATTTTAGATTTCTAATTGAAATAGTCCAGAATGCGTTACCCTTTGGTGCACTTGCGACTCTCTTTAATTTCGACTCATTTGAGTTTTCTGAGTGGTCCAAATACAAAGAAGAATGAGAAAAGCCCAACCCAGATTTTTCAGGAATCAAAATTCCTCCTGGGTTTAAAAATCAAAACATCTCAAAGGAAGCAGTAGATTTCCTGAGAAAGCATGGTAAAGAGCATGTTGCCATTCTGCGTGACATCAGAGTCTTAGTGCGGTCTTTGGTAACTGGCTCTCTAATAAAATAGGTGAAGATTAGGAACAAGTTGTTAATCAAGTTCCAAGAGTTCATTGACTCCTTTGACAATTCTGAGTTCGATCTAGCAATAATTTTATAGTTACAGGTATGGAAAAGTAGACCATGTTGCCTTGAAAAAAAAGTGGGAAGATTATAGAGAGAAAGGAATCGATCTGTTCAGTACGTATTCTATAAGCACTTACAATTACTGAGTAATTTGAATATCTTATTAGGAATTATGAAAATAAAGAAGAAAGACCCAGATGCTGAATACAAATCTGAAGTAGAGATGACAGAGTTTGATGATGAAGATTCTCCATTTGACCTTGAAGATTAACTCAAGGTTCATATAGATCCTAGAACTATAGCCAAACTATTGCTCACGGATTGGATGAAATTTTCTTCAAGTAAATTCAACAGGGATATCTTCTTTACTAATATTGATAGATTGAGTAATTCAATACCTCTGTTTCAACTATTGGATTCATCCTCGGGGTTTTGGGGTTTTGGGGTTTTGGGGTTTTGGGG